ATCCACACCCACTGTATGGTCTTGAAACTCCACGTTGTTCACCCTGGAGAAGAGAAGGCTTTGGGAAGACTTTACAGCAGCATTTCAGTACTTATAAGGGGGCCTACAAGAAAGCTGAGGACAAACATATTAGCATGCCCTGTTGTGGCAGGAGAAGGAGTAATGATTTTAAACTGAAAGAGGACAGGTACGAGGAAGAAATTTTTTACAATGAGGGTGGTGAAACACTGGAATAGGCTGCCCAGAGGTGGTACATGCCCCATCCCTGGAAACATTCAATGTCAGGATGCCCCTGCCCAAGGAAACATGTTAGACTAGATGACCTTTGAAGGTCCCTCCAACCCAAACTATTATATGCTTCTATGATTACTTTCTTATTATGTATCTAATTGTCTTATGATGTACCTAATTTCAAGAGAGGCCTGAGGGCTGATTCTTGAAGAGAAATAGCACACTTTCCTACTGCTGAAGTGCCTAGGAGTTGAAAGACCTCTGTCACCACATGCTTAAGTTATGGCCTTAGGCAGCTGCCCCATGAATAGCCTGAATACCCTTCCCTCTCTTGGTGTCTTTTGTCTGACCATGCACTGCATAGGGCCCCATTGCCAGTTTTCAGGTAATACTGCAGGAGACCCACAGTGTCACAGCCACAAGGTATACTGTTATAAAGCTGGGGTAGGTAGGCACAGTCCTAATGAATGAGGGCTGAGCAGCCACAACCATAAAATTCTGGTCTCCCCACCATCAGAACATGAAATTTTGTTCCAGTTTTCTGGTACGAAAGGGCTGTAGCACAGGCACAGAGCAATCTGTACATGCATCACAACCTTGGGGCAACCACTGAAGCCAAATTAACAGCAGGCCTAGTTTTTGACATCAGGTAGCTGGGAAACTACCATCTTGTTACTGGATCCTGTTAATGAAAGAGCAGAAGGAAATACTGTCCTTTTGGCCCTTGGGCCCCTGAGCTTCACTGAGGTCTGAAGCTGGTTAGTTATATTTTCATATATATATGCATATTACCAGGATATCCATGTAACTCTTGCATCTCTATAAACGTATGAGTATTGATCTATATTGATAAACATAGATTTTTTGGTGTCTGCCGGGAGTGAGTCAGACTTGTGGTAACAGCTGCTGATTTTGCTCCGTAGATACAACTGATCACTGGTTTGGGAGAAAGTGGTAGAAAACAATGATTGTGTGTTCCTCCTCTTCTCCCCTTAAAAGAGGGAGGTTTCTGGCCCCATAGCTAGAGAACTGACAAACACTTGATTTTGCATCCAACAAGAAGCATGGAAAAGAACGGGTAAAGGATTCTCCTATCAGCAAATCTACCACTGGGCAGAGAAAGTTTCTGTTGTGTCAGAAGCTGCCTGACACAAAGCTGCGGCCTCCCCTGGTTCACTATTCATTTCTGCCTCCCTGCTCCTCCAAGTCCCTTCCTCCCCCAGGACAAACCAAACAGCAACAGCAATTTTGCAGAGCTAGTCCAAGTCAGGGCTAAAAGCTTCTAGGAGGGTTTCAGAACAAGCAGCTGGGGCCACTGGCAGAGGTTAGAGGGAAATGTGAAATAATAATAAAAACCAGTTATGATTTGTAAAAGGCTGACTGGCTACTGTTTAACAACCCTACCTGTGACCAGGATAATACTAATATTAAAACCAGGAATACCAGTGATGCCTGGAAAACATTACATTTAAGCAGAAAGGCTCTTAAAGGATCAGTTCATAACATCTCTCTGACATACAGCTATCAGACCACTCAGAGTACCTAGATATATGAAGCAATTGAAAGGACACATACTGTAATTACAGGGATATACAGATATGCACGTTTCAACCTTAGCTTTAGAGCAATAAATCTTTGCTAGATAGATAAATCTTCAGTTGGTAAGAAAGGACTCTTGCAGCTGGTTCCTGTAAAAGAAACATGCTCTCACATTAATAAGCTTTAATAGTGAATAGTTCCATTGATTTTGGTGGTGTTCCTTGCAAAAGTGAACACTGTACGGTTTTTCTGGAAGAAATCTGATGGAGACACATTTTTTTTCCAATGTATTTCATGCACATTTGCAGTAAAACTTACTAACTTTCCCAAACAGATGGTTCAGTGTGTTTCTTTTTCATTATGAAAACAGCGATCTATAGCAGACAGCGCTTTTCTGTGTAGTAGTCCTTGATACCTTACTTACCAGCAGGTTAAGTAAATGGTAAAAAGTATAATGGTTTTGCTACCACAAAAGGGAATAATTGTGCCAGTACCATTCTTTCTCATTTACTGCACTGATGGGTTAAAAGAAAGTGCATGAGGCTCACCAAATGCCAAAAACTACATGCAAGTATTTTCAGGGTTCACCACTGTCTAGTCAAAGGATTGAACAGATCCGGTTTTCACTTGTGCAAGTGGTTGCCTTACCCATGGCAGAATCGTCTAGAAGCTTCAAGTCCATTTCAGACTGTGACATCTCTCTGACTGGCACTCAATGGGACCATCAGAAAAAGATGCAAAGACCACAAATGTATCCAGATGGTTTGCCAGTCACTATCAGCTAACAGCTGGCTTCTGCTCTGGAAAACATAACTCTGAATGTTTGTCCCTCTGTAAATGTGTCATCCTTTTAAAAATTCTTCTGCCTCCAAAGTCCTGTGGCAATGGTAGCCTCATACGCTACCATTTTTTAATGGTACCAGATTTAATATGCTACCAGACTTTTTAATTTCCTTTCATATTCTGAAGAGTAGATGGCTATGTTTCACCTACCCCTCCCATGCCATTATTCTTTGCTTCTCTCTTTGCAAAGAATAGTCAAATCCTTTGCATAGAAGCCTTTTCACACTTTTTGCTACCCATCCTTGTTACTCATTCATTTCTCCCACAGTTATGTTCAGGTAAGCAACACTTGGACTTACTATTTCCTAGTATTCCCTTGCCAGTCTATATGTAGTGGATGCCATTCATCTTATCACTGTGTCAACTTTAGCACTAGGACTGCTTTTTCACACTATAGACAGTCTGTGACCTGAGGTGGTTAGTCAGTGATAAGGTTTATTTAGACAACACAAATAATTAACCATCAACCAGCTGAATTCTCCAAGTCTAGCGGAACTCAGGAAGGCTTAAGCTCAGTGAGGTTCAGGAAGCTCGGTGGCTTGCAGGATTGACTCTTTTTTATTCTGAAATTCCCCATTAAGCAGTAGTTCAGAGAAGGCTGTGGGGTTTGGATCATTATAGGTGACAGTCCATGAGAGCGTTAAAGAAAGGGCTGGAGGAAATAGTCCCCTCTCTCACTTGAGCAATGAGGTGACTCCCCTGAAAACCACTCCTTTTAGTGCCCTATTAGTATTCTGACACACCGTTCATTCTATTAAAAATTACCTTGTCACCAGTGCCTTTACTAACTGTCATAAGCATGGATGGGGCATTAACAGGCAATTCATTAGCTCTGCTCTGTGTCAGCACTCTGAAGCTATTCACAGCTGCTGAGGAAGGGTTTCTTCTATATGGACGGAGTCTGCCCTAGAAACATCCACACAGACACATGCACCTTTACTTACATGGCCTACAGGTCACCACATTATTTTCCCCAGCGTCTCCCCCAAGAGCAAGATCAGATACATTTCTCCCCTTAGTCAGAAAAAGGTGGGGAAAACCATAAAGCTAACAGGACTGTCAAGGACATAGGCAGGACAGATCAGGGTGAGATCTGGAAAGGTGAGATCTGGAAAAGTGTTTCAAAGAAAACAGCGTCACTGCTCTTCACCACAAAGCTTTCTTATGTTTTATTTTTAAGGGATTTCCAGAGAAAAACGGTGCAGAAAAGTGTTCCATTTGACCTACTGGGAATCCCATTTCATGAATTAACTTTGTTTTTTTTTCTCAAAGATAATGGTTGTTGGTATTTAGTTAATCTTAATGAGGTGAATTAACAGCAAAATTAATTAGATGTAATAAAGTCAATTTCATGTCAGATACTTAAAGCAGGTGTACAGGTGAAGAGAGAAACTTTACAGCAGCTTTTAAAGTCCAGGGAAGTATGCAGGCACTACTGTTTAAAGATCTACGCTCCCTTTGTGAATTCATTACAGCTGTGGTAATGGTAATAACTGCTTTTTGCTGTTCATATTTGAAATGATATTTCTTTGGACATGAAAAAATGCTAATTATGAGTTATTTTTATCTTCCAAGTTGCTTTCTACATCCACTTTAGGTTAATTCTGATCCTAAAGTGAAATGTCTTCTATTAATTTCTTTGTTTAGGGCTCTCCTGCCTTTCACACCCTGACTCGGGCCATGCTACAAGGAGGCTTATTTATCTGTCTTTTGTTTTTTGTTTTTGTTTCTATGGAGTATAATCTGTAGGAAATCTGCACATGCCTTTTATTTCAGGAAAGGAAACTTCTTCATTCTTTGTGCATAAATACTTTAGAGAACAGAGTATAAAAGCAGTTACATAGAAGTGTGATCCAGAGTCAATTGAAACTCCTGGAAATCTTGCTGTTAACTGCAATGGGGACTCATCTGCCAAAACCACCATCATGGCTCTTTAGCTGTAACAGACCATACACAGGGGAAGCAGCCTTCACCCTCTGCTCTGCAAGCATAACACAAAAGGAAAAGCACAGAGAGATCATCCTGACATTGTGTGGAATTAACAGAGCTAGTCCAAGAAATCATCACATGCAAAAGACTCTTTGAACCAGATAAATTCTTATATCAGGATAATTTCCTTTAAGATGTGCTTTGCTTTACCTTCTAATGTCTCCATTTCTAGGTGTAGACAAAGCATTTTCTGAGGCATCATTTAGCTGTTCACAGTACTGCAAAGGGGCAGCCACAAGTTTACTCACAGTAAATGTCAACCTACAATGAACTCCAGAGTTCATAATGCTGAACAGTTAAGAAATCAGTTTCCTGCTCTTTACCTAGGGAACGAGGCGCATTGCTCTGGGACCTGGCTCCTCACTAAACATCATAAATAACTACACACATAGCAGAAGGAAAAAAAAAAACCTTAATTTTTATCTGTGAGTTAAGCACATACTTCAGGAATAAGTTAATCACTCTGTTTCCTCTCTCCTACCAATAAAAGGCGATTCACTTTATGTATGATGCATGCTGGTACACAATACAGTCACTTGATTTTCAGAAAGAGCTGTTGGATCACATTAGCAAAGTCCTCCAGCACACTCATCCCAGGTTTGCTGGAGCTGCTGGATCCTGTGTGGTGGCTTCCCCTCAGGGAATCACAGTCTGGACAACAGAAGCCTGAAGGATTGCCCACAGGAATGAGAAGTATCACATGGCAGGGATCATCATCCATTTGGAGATCAAGTGTGCTATTAGAGCAGCCCTGCAAAAGATTCACCTGCTCGCAGCAGGTGTAATACCCTGCAGCCCCACAAAAGCTGGTGAAACTATGCTGAATGGGCCACCTGACCCAATGATCCTGCGCTGCAATTTTCACAACAGTGCAGCATTGATCCCAAAGAGTTGTGCTAGCATTTCTGCCCCTGAATCACAGGCACTCAGCCAACACTCAGGTCTCTAATTCCTACTGAAGTGATCAGATCCCTTGAAACCTGTAGCAAAAATCCCAGCACAAGAAGGCAGTCTCAATGCCTTTGATGCGAACAAGCTCTTCGGCAACAAGGATCCACCCTGAGCCCAGTGCTTACAGTTTCCACAGGCCCCTGCAGAGCTCAGGACATCACCCACCGCCAAAGTCTGAAAGATCGTACAAGGCCCCCAGCAGCAGGAGCTGGGGCAGCTTTTGCTCCCTATCTGTTGCTCCATGAGGAGATGCGGCTCGGGGAGGGGGCCGCGTCGGACTTCGACGTTTCTCTCGGACCTGACCCCAGCCAGGCCGCGTCTCCGGGCAGCCATTTTCTGCCCGCCCCGGGCCCCAGGGGCCGCGGCAACGTTTCGACCCATCCGCTCGCCCAGCCCGCGGACATCCGCGATAGGAGGAGGCACTCAGAGCCGCGCTCCCCGGGGCAGCCGGCACCCGCCGCGGGAAGCCCTAAGAGACCCGGCTGCGCACGCCTCGGAGCGGCCGTCACGCGCGGCCAGCGGCGCCCACCTGCCCGGCCCGCGGCTGACACCTTGTGGCTGCCGGGCCGCATGTTCGCCCCAGGCGGCGGGTAGAGAAAGGCGGTGGCGGCTTTCCGTTGGGTGGATATGAGGGTGAAAGCAGGCAGGCCGCGGGGGTCCCCCCGGTCACCGGCCGCCTGCCTGCCCCTGCCCCTGCCCCTGCCCTCCCAAGGCAAGCCTCCCGCCAGCAACCGGTTCGCCGCCAGGTGGTGTCGCAGCGAGGCCGGTTCTTGCCGCCGGGGCGGGCGGTGCCCGGAGGTCGGGGCGTTGCGGGGGAGAGCGGGGCGGGCGATCAAGCAGGGGCCGATCCCGGGGCGGACCTGGGAGCGGGCTCATCCCTTCCCGACGGAAGCACGCTTGGAGAAATTCCTAAAAAAGCGTCGCTGCTGCTGCCCTCCCCCTCGGCCCCAGCACTGTCACACTGAAATACTGGATTTCGGTTTGTAATTATTCATATCAGAAACGGCACGTAGATTCATAGAATCATAGAATAATTAGGGTTGGAAAGGACCTTAAGATCCTCTAGTTCCAACCCCCCTGCCATGGGGAGGGACACCTCACACTAAACCATGTCACCCAAGGCTCTGTCCAACCTGGCCTTGAACACCGCCAGGGAAAATGCATGTTGTGCGAGGAGCAACGCACACACAGGTTTGAGGTCTCTGTGCCTGGAGCTGTGTTCATGATGCTGGTTTTTTCCCCTTTTCTTTGCCAACATCTTGCTCCAGTGGCCGTTCATACTGAAGGCATCCTGGAAGGTGTGGAGATCTCAAGAGCTAATGTTAACCACAAAGAATACTTGTCTTCATCCTGTCAGGATCAGAAAGCACAAAATGTGGGTTTTTCAGCAGAGAAAGGACATGTGCTTTGAACAAAAGAGCCTGGTTGAGGACTGGCTGTGCCATCCTCAATCTCTCTGATGTCCTGCTGTGAGCCACTGGTCCGTCTTTTCTTCATTACTCACCAGCAGCATCTGTAATTAAACTAAAAAAGAAAAAAGACTTTTCTCCACGGTGTCACATTTATAGCTCTCCGTTTTGCATTCAGAGTGCAGGAACAGTTTGGGCTGTGGTAATGAGGCTGGTTGGCCATCCCTGGCCCAGCTGGGGTGAGTGGCGGAGCCTGGCAGAGCCGGCTGGCACATTTCGGGGACATGATGAACTCAGGTGATTGCCAGACTCAGAGGTAAAGTTACAGAGGGCCTCATCTGACTTTGCTCATGCAGCGTTTCATTAAAGGACTCTGCGCCCATCAAAATGATGGAGCGTAGGCCAGCATGTTGGCTCTGCAGGCTAATTAGTCTCTCAGACCTTCTGCTCCTCTGGAAGTCCCAGCCCGGCTGGGCAGGACAGGGCTTTGTGTTGCTCGCGTCAAGTGGCCAGGTTCCACATCTGTGGTGCTGGTATTTCGCTGGTCTGCGGGGCTCTCATTTGGCCTATAAACTGCAAACATCTGCTGGGGTTATGGTCGGCTTGTTGACTGATTTCAGCAGGGGTGGTGACCTGCTGTACTAGTCGATCAGTTCTGGAGGAGCAAACTGGATGCAATGCGGAGGAGTTTGAGAGAGCCGGAAAAGCACTCAGCCAGTCAAAAATAAAAACTAGGTAAAAATAAAGAGCTGTGGAAACGCTAAAATGCTGCAGCTTAATAGACCAGGCAAAGCGCACGCTTGTGTCCCAGTGTCCTTGGTGTTCCCACGCATTCTTTCCCTTGACGATGAGATATTATTTTTTAATGCATGTTGACAATTGAGCATGTTACTTTATCAACTCAATAAGATAATCAAAACCAAAAATCTAGAGTCATGTAAAGGAAATAAATTATAAGAAGAAAATATGCCTCATGCCTATACTGTGCCTATCAAATTAAGTGACCTTAATTTGATTTAGTCCAGGAATAGTTTCTTTTAAAGTGATATAGTAGCAATAAGTTCTACATAATAGTCCAGATTCCAGTGACATCTTCTGCTATTAATGTAGATGTCATGTGTGTCTCACGGAAATGTCACCATAGTCTGGCAGGCTGAGGAACAATGTATGAAAACTAACTCTGTTCTCTATCATAGCAGTGTCAGATGGAAGAATTTCACAGGCCCTTCCCTCTAGTTACTTTGGGTTGACACAGATGGAAATGAAGGCAAGACTGGACTGTCAAAGCTTTCAGTGTGCATCCTCCTTTCTTTAAAAACAAAGTCCCTGCCGCTGCTCTGATTTGCCTCTGTTCTGTGCCAGGGTAGACCGGGACTGATACCGGAGAAATTGTTGGATTTGAACTAGCTGACAACAGATCTGGCCTTTTGTAAGAGAAGCATGCATAGTTCTTTCCATGTAAATTCAGTTTAGATGCAGGAGTCTGGGTAAAGAACTGTTGAAGTGACTTAACCCAACCAGTTATTCTATAGTCTCACTGAGCGTTTATTTCCAGGGCAAGCAGGGTAGTACATGCTGAGAAGGAGCGATGGAGCACAACTTGGTGTAAATAATACGTTAGACCTGATCTGGACCCATTTCTGCTGGCAAAACAGACTCTTTGTTCAGGAAGTTAGTCCAGTTGGAACTTCCAACAAATGGAAGTATTTTATAGTGCAACCTTGTAAACTACTTAGGGATTTTGAAAATAAACAAATACAAGCAAAGATATTGTTGCTGTTCCTCAATGCCTGGTAATTTCCCATGAGCATGGAGGGCTGAAGAAAGATCTCTTCTCGTGGTTACATACCCCACCATTTCGGGGGTGTCACTCACTGGACTGCATTATAAAAAACATTTAATGAATCTCCCCTGGGGTTTGCATTCCTGAAGAAAGCCACAGCAGCCCAGATTGCAGCTCACAGCAACCTAACTGCTTCTGGAGCCCTTGCTCATCCTACTGGGCAACCTCTTCAAGTCTCCCTGAAATGCGTGCAAGTGCTTGAGCCCCTTGGGAGCCCTTGAAAAGCCCAGCCGGGGCGTCCACCACCACATGTTCCTCTCATAAGAACTGGGGATGGACAGGAGCAAGGTGAGGAGGCTTCCGTAAAAAACAACCTGCAAACCCTTGGACTTAATGAAGGGTGAAAAAAGCAAGGTTTTTTTTTCAGTCAATTGTTGTAAGTATTAGAGTAGGGAATAATTTTTTTTCCATTAAATTCTATATGCTGGGAAGGTTATCGCTTTCTATCAAATTCTCGTGGATTTTCCTGTGAGAGCAACTGTGTCTGACTGATAGTGTGTGGCGATCAGACACAAGGAAAATTATCTAATTTATAGCCAGTATTGAGAAACCTACCAGCAATAGAATAAAATAGTTCTCCATATGGTACCATAAAGCTTCCAAAAACTATAGTTAAAGAAAACAACAATGCTCATAGACAAATTCTCCTTTTGTGTATCAAGTAAGGGGTTACAGCAGCAGGGCTGGTAAAGACGCACAAGAAGGAACGATGTCTTTGATTGTCTTATATGAATTTACAGCTCTTATGCACAGGATTACAAGTATTAGATGCATCTTTGTGCTAACAGGGCTCATGTTTTGAAGTACAAGAAAACTCTACAGTTACATTCTGTGGAGGCTTCCACAGTTTGCCAAATGGAAAAACATTTGGAGGTTTGGAAAAATCTTGCACATAAATTACTAAAGGCACGAAGCGCCTGAAAGATGGATGAAATCAGAAGCCAAGGAAAAGCAGTGTGTGTGCCAAGGAACAAAAAAAAACATGTAATGATTTCTTTTAATGACTCTCCTGCAAAATGGAGAGCAAGCTTCCAGGGCATGTCATATTCTCATAAAAGCAGCTTGCCTTGGTGATGAGAAATACCCTGTAAGTGGTCAGACTGAGACCCAATTTTTCATCCTTTCTGCACATAGCTCTCCATTGATTATGTTAAGTGCTACCTACTGGTTAAAAACACAGCAAGCGTATTGTCTGTGCCTGTGGCAAAGGGCAGCTACGCACTTGCTAATTTCCTGATTTATGGCACCCTATAGATGGAGTTGAAAGTGGGAACATGGTGGGGGAGGATGGGACACACACTATTGAAGCAGAGGGAGATCAGGAAGTTTGTGATAAAGAAAAGGCAGGCTCTGGACTGACATGTAATCTCTTTTGGCTTGAAGTAAACCTGCTCCTTCAAGGCTATGCCATCAACAGGGCCTGGCTCAAGTTTCACCACTAAATCTGAGTCAACAATCTCTAATCTGGACACCAGGCTCAGGATCCAGGCTCAAGTTGCATTTGGAAGCAGACAACAGGGACACGGGGAGGTGGGGACCGGGGGGAGCGGGGAGAGGAGGAAAAAGACAATCTTTGTTTCTCATTTGATTGTCCGCACAAGGCTGAACCGAGGCCATGTGTCTTTTTTTGTCTTTTTTTTTTGGTCATTTCTGAGATAAAACTTCGCATCTCCATGGCCTTGAAATTGCCTTCCTGACACTTATATTAAGTACAGAAGATAAATGCCCGAGAATGGGGGACATAAGTTTGTGGAGCAGCTCAGATTTGGAGTTCTTTTCATCTTTCTGACATGTGATACTGTGACATAAGCTGCCTGCAGTGGGGTTGCTATGCAGATATACAGTTTCTGAAAAGTTACACCAGGAAAACTAAAACCCACCGATGGATTTAGCATTTCACAAAGAAGTGGGATAAAATGTGTGGCAGTTAGACTCAAAAGCTAAAAAAGGTGAATTAAACTTTCATGAAAACAATCTCCCTAAGAAAAAAAAAAGGATCAATAAGTATAAAAGTATCTCGTTGCATTCCTAGCCTTTGGGCTGCTGGCTTAATCCCGCTACTGTATATAATAAAGGAGACCCTGTGTGTTTAATGGCAGGGACAGAAAGAAGGGGGAAATACTTTGGTACTGTTCCCCCTAATTTCACCCTCTTCCCCCCTCTTTGTTGCTGCCTCGCCATGATTTTATTTTGAAAAATAAAGGCTAGAATAAAAAATATGTTGTCTGAGGCTTCCAGCCAAAAATGTGCCAGCACTTTCCCTTCCCACCCCACCCCCCCAAACTCCTTAGGCCAAAAGCCTTAACAAAAGCTGTTTTCTGTTTGGAAGATCTCCGGGTCCTTCACTCTCTTTCCTAACCCCTAACGCAGGAAATGATTTTATAATTCACGTTATTAAGGAATTCAACTCACGCTCAGTCATTCCCCCCCTCCTTCCTTG